GGTCTCCGATGGACACCGAGGGACTCCGATGAACTTCAAAGGACTCCGATGGACTCCAATGGACTCCAAGGGGCGGGAGTCAGTTGTTTCCCACTTGGTTGCATGGGTTCGCACTTTACGATCTTTTGGAATCCTTGGAATCTGATAGAATTCATCATCATCTACCATGTTCGAAATGCAAGACTTTGTTTCCTTTCATGGATTCCTTCGAAAGGATGGTAATGCTTTAGAAGGTCTACGGAGACCATAGGGGTTTTCAGGAGGCCCAGAGTGGCATGGGTTCTCACTTTACGATCTTTTGGAATCCTTGGAATCTGATAGAAATTATCATGATCTACAATATTCCAAATGCCGCACTTTGTTGCCCGTCATGGAATCCTTGCAAGCCTTGGCATTGCTTCAAAATTCCTTGGGAGACCATAGGGGTTTTTGGGAGGCCCACAGTTGCATGGGTTGTGACTTTACGATCTTTTGGAATCCTTGGAATCTGATGGAAATTATCATGATCTACAATATTCCAAATGCCACACTTTGTTGCCTCTCATGGAATCCTTGGAATCGGCATGGATAGTTCAAGGTTTCCGTTTTGAGGAAAGTCAGCCAGGTCTCCGTGGTGTTTTGTTGTTTCCCTTTTTATGTGTTTTTAAGGTTTCCTACTATACGATGTGTGTTTTTGAATCCAATTAAGGTTGGTTTGGTTTATTATTTGTAGTATAATTAGTATATAGTGTTAGTTAATTTTTATTATTAGTAATTAATTAATTAATTAATTAGTTATTTAATTGGGTGAGTCATTTCGTGAAAGTTTTTTTTCGAATGTTTTATATGTGTTTTAGAGTTCACTTTGGATTGGATTTTAGTTCGAATTTTTGTACTCGATGATTTCCGCAATCGACGACATAGAGATTCCCATGTCGATCGAATGACAATCCGATGGGCCAATGGAGTTGGTTTGATTGTTCTCCTTTACCGTTTCCACCAACAATGACACTTCCTTGTGTGGCTCCTTTAGGCCAACGCATGATTCGATTATTCCCTGCATCGGCCACATAGATAGTGCCCAATTGATCGACAACGACTCCTCGAGGAGATGACAATTGTGTAAGACCATTTCCATATCCTTGACCACCAGCCACGACAATGCCTTGTTTTGCACCTTCCATCCATTTCATCACACGATGATTGTCCCAATCAGATACGTACACTGAATGATCTCGATCGACGAATACGTATGTTGGGGAAGAGAGTTGATCGAGACGATTTCCACTCCCATTGCCACCTGCAACCACTGTTCCTTGAGATTCTCCTCTTCGATATCGTCTAACTTCATGTTTTCCAACATCAATGACATAGAGAGATCCATTCTCGTCCATTGTCAAACCCATACAATAGATGTTGGAGATGATTGTTTCTCCACTTGTCCCATTTCGACGAGGCCATCGAACCACTCTTTCATTCCAAGAATCACATATGATGAGACTATCTCTCTCTTTGTCGATAATCACATCATATGGGTTAGATAATTGATGTTCTCCACTTCCTTGTCCATTTCCACCGGCAACCACTTGGTCACTTGTTGCACCTCGTTTCCATTCCACAATGCGATGATTCGATGTATCAGCAACATAGATTGTTTGATCATCATCAACATACAAACCCCATGGGGTTGAGAGTTGATTGATTCCATTGCCTTGTCGATTTCCTCCAGTCACAGTGATACCATTTTGTTGCCATCGAGCATTCGGATGAATGTTGGTGCTGGATGGAGAACGTAATGGATAGTCTAAAATAGAGAGAAGAAAGGTTATTAAAATAAGAGAGAGAAAGTTTCTCTTCATAGAAATAGGATTTTATTACAAGGCGAGAAACCTTTTTTAGTCAAATTCTCAACTTTGTTAACAACGATTATTTTTTTAACTCTTTTTTTTTTTTTTTTTTACGTTTAGGATGATGGGGAATGTATGAGAAAGGTGAAGACATTGAATGAGAAATGTGGGTTTTTTTCTATGATTTTGCAACTAATTCATGTATAAAAATCGTGAACTGATCAAACTAGTTTTTCGATATGTTACGGATCATCTCTTTCTTGGAAGTATGTCTTTTGTTATGTTGCTGATCTATGAAAGAGTCTCTCGAATTTTTGAAACATTATTCTATGAAATATATATATGACATATTTCTTGTTTTACTTTCATTTTCAATTATCTCTTCAAATTGTAAATACGAGAAACATGTAACATTCATCTATGTGAACTCGCTTTATTCTCGATTAAATATTCGGCTCTTTTGGTATTTTATACTTCTTTACAGCTCTCAACAAGGCTATTATCCAACATTTGAAAAAGTATGTGTGTGTGGATGCTGATACTAGTGTCAGTCTCCTGATGCATGATGTGGTATGTGTGTCCATGTAAGAATTTTTGTCATAAACTCATCTCATCAAACTGATACCCACACATCGATACTCAACAAGATATCTAAATGAACTATACACACTAGAACTAAAACAGATTATATTTACAGTTTACTGAAAGGAATCACGAAGTAAGGAGGGTAATCGACTGATATAAAAATCAGCTAAAAACTCAAAATTAAATCCGTTAAATCATCTTAACTTATTTTAAATCAGCTTTTAACTCATTGTAACTCAGCAGAAATCATTTTAAATCAATATAGCTTTAAAAAAAATTCTTACAGTCCAAAAAAATATATACTCAAACTTGATATTTTTGTTCAATCACTATTTATGGTTTTTTTTTTTTGAAATTATTTAATTAAAATCAAAAAGTTTATATTCGCACACAGTCATTAAATATTTTCTTTTTATCTTATAGCTTAGAATATACTTCGCTCTGTTCTACTAATATATATAGACAAAATATGTGATACAATTGACAATAAAAATATTCTAACGAATGAATGCTTTTTTTTTCATTCTTATATAACTAGACTACATAGAATAAAAAAAAACAGACAAAGAGAAAATTCAATCCACCTCATGTATCTACACTGAAATGAAGCGATCCAAAATTTATATTATTTTTTTAATCTGTTCTCGTTCTTTAGATCGATTATTTTCATATGACCATTGTGACGGATTCTACCCGTCACTACTCTTAATGTTCTATTCATTAATCATTCTCTCTCGTTGTTCTCTCTCTGCTGGAATATAAGTACTGCGTTCATAATATTATCGTTATTCATTATTGAAATAATCTCAGAACGAGTGATTCGTTCCATCACAACCTGCCGATTACACCAATCGAATTTTGGTTACATTTTTCCCTTCACTTCAGCACATTATTTTTTTTTAATTTTTCATCTTGTTCTTTGGTTTTTTTTTTCTTTTCTTTTTACTATTATTAGTAGTCACCTATTTTTCTGTCTTACGTTAGCACGATCCTATTTTAACTATGACCGAATCTGACAGGTAGAAATTACATAAATATCTCACTAGTCTTCGCGATGAACTACAACTTGAAGCAACACGCACAACTTCTATCGAAACGACGTTGACCACCGTACAGTCCACAGTAACTCAATTCGAACAGAATTTCAATGAGAAAAGTAAATCATCTCTCCACAGCTCATGAATTAAAATATCAGCAATTAGATGACACGATTCAAACATCTAGATACTCAATTTCAGGACTTTCATACTTATGTTTCTACACAAATATCCGAATTAACGGCTGAAATTCGTGCAACACTTGCTGCTGTTTGTACTTCCTCATCCGTAACCTCTCCAACAAATCCATTACTTCCCTCTTCTACTAATAACCCCATACACTCTCATTCTTTACTAAATGGTCCTTCTCCACAAGACACCTTACTCTCTCTCCCTGCACGACAAACAATCATCATCCAACAACCTAAAATAGCTCCTTCTTTTTCAGGCAAAACTGAAGAAAAACCACGTCCATTCCTCCTCTTACAACTCCATCAATATACCAACTCATCTTATGGATGGGACAAAGAAATGTTACTTCAAAATATAGGCCAATTTTTGAAAGATACTGCTTTTGAGTGGTATACTCAAATCGAGCAAGAATGGAATATATGCATTCAACGACCTGATGAATCAATCAACGAATTTCTCGTTCGTTTACGCAGTCTTTGGTCAGAACATAAACCGAACGAAACGGAGCGCCATCTTGTTAGACACCTTTTTACTAAAATTCGACCTGCATTAGCGATCCTAGTCTTGAAAATTTTCTTGAGCGAGCCCGAGAAGCTGAACTTATTGATTTTTCCCGTTCCAAACAAAAAATGTGCATATTGAAAAATCTAATACTACTATTTCAGCTACTCTTCATTCGTCAACTCGCTCCCACACATCTAATTCTCGTCAATCTCATATTATCTGCTATAAATATAATATTCCAGAACATTTACCATCCCAATGTACTCGTATTCAATCTTCCAGATATCCTTCAAATTCAAAAAACTAAGACGGAGTCTTACTGATGGGAGGTGGCGGGACTCCGACAATTATCTAAATAAAAAATCCTCTCTCTCTCTCTCTCTCTCTCTCTATTAGTTCTATCCATAATTCTTTTATTTCTTCTTCCCAACTATTACATGTCAATGGGTACATTAGAAGGGTACCCAACAAAATTTACTATTGACACTGGATCGAATTTAACTGTACTTAGTGTTGAGGCATTTCATCAAATCGAGCAAAAGTCATGCAAACTTATCCCTATTAAATCTCCATCCCTAACAGTACGTTGTGCTAATGGACAATCTTTACGTACACACGGTCTCTTCGAATTGAACATTTCTGTATCATCGGCTTGGATTTTTTACGAAAACATGATATTCATGTCGGAGGTACACACGATCAAATTATTTTTCCGAAGCAGTCACAAGATACAAATTCTTTTGCATCTCAATCGCCATCTCTCGATCAGTATAACACTTCTTCTCTTACCTCTTCCAATTCGTCATCATACTCTTTAGCAGCTATTGAAGCACATTCTTTACCTCCATACCACTCTATGATTATCCCTGTTCAACCTACGAAACCATTCTCTAAATTTTCTCCAGATGAAACATATTCCGTTTCTTTACTTCATGAAAATCCTCGTGTAGGCAATAGTCTTATCTCACCAAGTAAATCACGTTTTATTGAAATCTCAAATTTTTCTCATGATTCTATCGAGGTTCATCCTCAACAAAAACTAGCCGTTATGGAACTATTGACTGAACATCAATTGAATAGCTTATCAAGATTATCTCATACACCTCATCCTATTGAAGAAGAACAAATATGTCTCCCTGATTTATCCTATTCTGACTTAAACGATATTCAAAAAGCTAAACTAGTTACACTTATTAAACAATATCCACAAGTTTTCACCGAGAAACTTGGTCGGACTCATCTTGTTAAACACATAATCGAACTTCAACCAGGAATACAATCCGCAAACACTCAACCATATCGTCTCCCCCCATCTAAAAAAGCTATAGTCGATCAACAACTAGAAGAGATGCTCCAAGCTGGTCATATTATTCCTTCACATAGTCCTTGGGCATCTCCAATCGTATTATCCCCTAAAAAAGATGGTACACTCAGATTTTGTGTTGATTGTCGAAAGTTGAATGCTAATACAATTTGTACAGCATATCCTATGCCTGAAGTTGACGATACCCTTGATTCACTCAGGGAAGCAGCGTTTATTACTCATCGCGGCCTCTATGAATTTTTAGTCATGCCTTTTGGACTGTCTAATGCTGCTGCCACATTTCAGAGATTAATGGATCTTATCTTAGCTGGAATAAAATGACAGTCATGTCTTGTCTATATAGATGATATTGTCGTATTCTCTTCCACATTTGAACAACATCTTAAAGATTTATCCTCTGTCTTTGATCGTCTCAAAACTGCTGGACTTATTCTTAAAGCCTCAAAATGTGATTTTTGTAGAAAAGAATTAAAGTACTTAGGACATATTATTACTCCTGACGGTATTAAACCTGATCCCGGTCTAATCGACTCCGTGAAACTTTTTCCTCGACCTACACGATTAAAAGACATTCAATCATTTTTAGGCTTAATTGGATACTACAGAAAATTTATAAAAGATTACGCTAAAATACGTTCTCATCAAAAATCTAAACGTCCACCAAATAACATAGAATGGTCTGTTGAATGTACTATAGCCTTTGAACGATTAAAAACTGCACTTACTCAGGCTCCTATACTTCGAGCTCCAAGTTTTAATGAACCTTTCATTTTGGAAACAGATGCCTGTGATTATGGTCTTGGTGCTGTCCTTACTCAAGAATATGATAATAAAAAAATTTGTTATTGCTTATGCTAGCCGAACTCAAACAGCAGCTGAGAGAAATTATTTTCCTACAGAAAAAGAAGCTCTAGCTATTTATTGGGCCACCAAACATTTTCGGCCCTATTTAGAAGGTACAAAAATCTATATTCGATCTGATTGTAGGGCACTACAATGGCTTCTTGAAACAAAAGATTCGTCTGGACGATTAGCTCGATGGGCAATAAGTCTATCAGCATTTAACATTGTTAGCATCAAATATAAACCAGGAAAAACAAATACAAACTCTGATTCATTATCTCGTTATCCTCTCCCTAATCTAGCTATGTTAAATGGAACAACACCTACATCTACACTCAATTTTTGGGACAATTGTACTCTCCTCAAAAATATCCGAATCGAACAATATAAAGACCCTCACCTTCATATTATCATTGATAAATTATCAGGTCTCAGTCATCCCTTCATTAATAATCTCTATCCCTCTTTTACTCTAATTAACGGTATTCTCTATAAATGTCGATCTCCATCAAAAAATATCTATCAACGATCAGTCGGACTTCCTCACTTACTCGTTATTCCGAAATCTATGCAACAAGAACTCCTATCTTGGACACATGATCATCCGACAGCCGGACTCTTTATCGTCTCTCAAGCCGAGTCTACTGGGATACTATGCGAAAAGATGTCACTCAGTATATTCAAAGTTGTCAGTCATGTCAGAAATTCAAATATTCTAATCAAATAATGAACTCTCCATTACAAATGCACATCGTTCGAGAACCATGGCATACTATTGGAGTGGATATTATGGGACCGTTTTCTATTACACAGCGTCAAAAACAATACTTACTGGTAGTTGTTGACTATTTTACTCGATGGGTAGAACTATTTCCTCTTAAAACAACGACTTCATCTGATATCGCTAATATCCTAGTTAATGAAATTATATGTCGTTGGGGTTGTCCTACCTATATTCTTTCCGATAATGGTCCCCAGTTCATTTCTGAACTATTCACTAATATCTGTTCGTCCCTAGGCATTAAAAATAAAAATACTTCTAATTATCATCCGCAGACAAATATGACTGAACGAGTCAATAGAAATCTTAAACCAATGTTAGCACAATATGCTCAAGAAAATCCACAATCATGGGATCAACATCTATCGAAACTTGCTTTTTCTATTCGAACTTCAGTAAATGAAACAACAGGTGATACACTAGCATATCTTAATTTTGGACGTGATCCTAAATTACCTCCACACCTACTCCTAACCACACCGACTCATGATGTACCTCTACTTCCCACATCTCTATCCTTAGAAATCGAAAATTATAAACAACAACTTCGTCATCAATTACTTACATCTCATCAATTTGCTCAAGAACATAGTGAAGTACGCAAATTTCAGCAGAAACATCAGTATGACAGTCATAGTTCTAAACGTTCTTTTAAAGAAGGACAACTTGTTTGGGTTAGCATTCCTTCAGTATTAAAACATGGAAAACTTGATCCTCATTATCAAGGTCCTTGTCGCATCACTCAAGTTCTTACTCCCTCTTCTTTTATTATTCAGCGTCTTTCTGACGGAGTAAATTTAGGAGTCACCAACATTGATCGACTTAAACCATTTTATGAACCGAATGATATTCGTGTCAACAATACACGAAATACACCAGATCAAACTTTAAATACACACCCACAACCATTGATGAGTATCGATACAAGCAATGCTACAAATATGATTCCTTCTCGCCCGTTAAACAATGATGACCTCTCTCCGTCCACTATTATATCAACGTCCGATTCGAATACATAGACGACCTAACCGATTGAATCTATAGCACCATCTATATCATAACAATGACCTCCCGTTCATGCAACGTTCATTAAATAACCTTTTCCTTTCCTATATATCCGGTCACACTGAGAAAGAATGACCTTCGCTTCGAGCCATTGCCATTCTATCACATTAGACACTGTGTATATTTCAACTGTCAAACATGTTTCTAATCCTGCAAATATTCCCATCAATCTGCAATATGTCTGTTAAGTACACTCTAAAAAAAAAAGGTTTTGTTGGAAACCTATAGAGGGTTTCCGGATTTGTCACTATATGAAACCCTTTATAGGTTTCCGAGAAAGGGTTTCCGAGCTCTCGGAAACCTTCAAAAGCAATGAAAAAAGCTCACGATCTCGGAAACCTATTGAAGGTTTTCGAGACTTCGAAAATCTTCAATAGGTTTCCGGCAGCTACGCACTACCCCTATCCTATCCCCTTATTCTAATCCCATAATCTATCTCCTTATTCTATCCTCTTATTCTAATCCCTTAGTCTATCCCCTTATTCTAAGCCCTTAATCTATAGCCTTATTCTAACCCCTTATTCTAAATCCTTATTCTAACCCCTTAATCTAAATCCTTATTCTAACCCCTTATTCTATCCTCTTATTGTAATCTCTTATTCTAACCGCTTAATCTATCCCCTTATGTTAATCCCTTATTCTATCCCCTTATTCTAACCCCTTATTCTAAATCCTTATTCTAACCCCTTAATCTAAATCCTTATTCTATCCCCTTATTCTAGCCCCTTAATCTAAATCCTTATTCTATCCCCTTATTCTAACCCCTTATTCTATCCTCTTATTGTAATCTCTTATTCTAACCGCTTAATCTATCCCCTTATGTTAATCCCTTATTCTATCCCCTTATTCTAACCCTTTATTCTAAATCCTTATTCTAACCCCTTAATCTATCCTCTTATTCCAACCCCTTAATATATCCCCTTATTCTAACCCCTTAATCTATCCCCTTATTCTAACCCCTTATTCTAAATCCTTATTCTAGCCCCTTATTCTATCCTCTTATTGTAATCTCTTATTCTAACCGCTTAATCTATCCCCTTATGTTAATCCCTTATTCTAACCCCTTAATCTATCCCCTTATTCTAACCCCTTATTCTAAATCCTTATTCTAACCTCTTAGTCTAAATCCTTATTCTATCCCCTTATTCTAACCCCTTATTCTAAATCTTTATTCTAACCTCTTAGTCTAAATCCTTATTCTATCCCCTTATTCTAACCCCTTATTCTAACCCCTTATTCTAATCTCTTATTCTAACCGCTTAATCTATCCCCTTATGTTAATCCCTTATTCTAACCCCTTAATCTAAATCCTTATTCTATCCCCTTATTCTAACCGCGTAATCTAACCCCTTAATCTAACTCCTTATTATAATCCCTTCATCTGTCCCCTTATTCTAATCCTTTATTCTAACTCCTTAATCTATCCCCTTATTCTAATCCTTTATTCTAACTCCTTAATCTATCCCCTTATTCTAACCCCTTATTATAATTCCTTCATCTGTCCCCTTATTCTAATCCCTCATGTTAATCCCCTATTCTAACCCCTTAATCTATCCCCTTATTCTAATCTCTTATTCCACTGATTATTCTAACCTCTTCATTTGAGGCCTCACTCTACTCTGTTGTTCTAATTTCTAATCCAAGTCATTAACCTATATCTATCCCCTTATTCTAACCGCTAATCTAACTTCTTCATCGATATCAAAGGGAAAGAAACTGATTTCTAATGCCAGAAATCAATTTGAAATCAACAGAAATTAATAGAGATCATTGCTATTGTGTGTATATCTCAGCTTGTCAGAATTTTGATATCCATAATAGGGGTAAGAAATCACTGTTATCTGAGAAGGAAAAATTTGTGAGATTGATTTTTTCGTTAGAGAAGTGTATTTTCCGTAAATGATGATTTTCGTATAAAGTTTGATCGGAAGCTATCGGAGTCGAGCAATCCAAATCTATAAGTGATTTCGAAAAATTTTCGAGTTTCGATTTTTTTGTCAGGGTGAAGCAATTTCTCATAGTTTTGCCAGCTCTATGGGAATATCCGCATTTCTGGAAAATAGGCCTTCAGTGGCCGAAAAAATCAAGCTGATAAATTTTGAAAAGCGAGTCACAGATTCGAATTCCTGGACCCCCATGACATTTGGCCAAACTTTATAGAAAATCGTTATTTTCTGAAAATAGCCTTATCCTAACAAAAAAATGAAACTCACAAATTTTGTAAAACGACTCATAGATTCGGATTCCTCGACCTCGATAACCTTTGGTCAAACTTTATAGAAAGTCGTTATTTTTTGAAAATAGCCTTATCCTAACAAAAGAATGAAACTCACAAATTTTGTAAAACGACTTATAGATTCGAATTCCTGGACCTCGATAACCTTTGGTCAAACTTTATAGAAAATCGTTATTTTTTTGAAAATAGCCTTATCGTAACAAAAGAATGAAAATCACAAATTTTGTATAACGACTCATAGATTCGGATTCCTCGAGCACGATAACCTTTGATCGAAGTGTATAGAAAATCGTTACTTTTTGAAAATAGCCTTATCCTAACAAAAGAATGAAAATCACAAATTTTGTAAAGCGGCTCATGGATTCGGATTCCTCGATCTCGATAACCTTTGGTCAAACTTTATGGAAAATCGTTATTTTTTGAAAATAGCCTTATCCTAACAAAAAAATGAAACTCACAAACGTTTCGTTACCGGTTATTTGGCAACGGAACGGTAGCGGACTTCCTCTAACTCGAAATCGTCAGAAATCATGGAAATCACTAGAAATCAAGAAATCTGAAATCAGTCTGTTCCTCTTTGATCTGTATCTGTCCCCTTATTCTACTTTCTTGTTCTACCCCTTTATTCTAACCTCTAATATAACTCCTTAATCTATATCTATCCCTAAATGTATCGTGCTTATCTAAGTCCTTAATCTATGTGTATCCCCTTATTCTAACTCGTTGTTGTAATGTCTTATTCCGTGGTCTTATTCTAACTCTTTAATGTATATCTGTCCGCTTATTGTAACCCTTAATCTAACTTCTTAACGTTGATCTGAATTTCATATTGGTGAACATGTGTCCATAGTATAACGAGGGAAGAAAAACCTAAGTTCGGCACGAAATTGCTTGACTACGATGCCTTTAGAGGGCATATAGTGACCATCCAATTTAGCGCGACTCTTCGATTTTCACAGTAAAATGTGTCATAATACATCCAAATTTTAGGCTATTTGAAATATAAAAACGAATTAGAATTCTTTTGGGAACAAGGCCTTCTTTTACATTTCCCAAATTTCTTATGTTTTACAAAGCAAATTCACACAAATTAAGTAAGGTTCATGTCATGCATATCGAGCACCGCTTTACCTGAAAATCACACGATAGAACATGAGAATAAAAAAGATAATTATTGGAATGCTAATCGAGTTTTGCATACTACTTAATGGGTTTTCGAAACTTTTTCTCGGAAACTCAAAGGTTTTCGCAACATTCGGAAACCCTAAGGGGTTTTCCAGTTATGTTCGGAAACCTTGCTAGATTTTTGGAAAACGCTTCGACCGTTTCCGATGCCCGGAAACCCAAAAGGGTTTTCGATAAAAAAATATCGAAAACCCAAAGGTATGCGAGGATACGCAATGGGTATCCGAAAAGGTTTTCGAAGCAAAAGCGGTTTCCGAGAATACGGTTGAAGGTTTCCGAATCCGCTCTCTCCAAAATCCATTGGTTTCCGGATGCTCGGAAACCCTCAAGGTATTGTCAGAAACTCAACATAAGTTCGGAAACCCTTCCGGAAACCTAAAAAGGTTTGCGAAAAGGTTTCCGAAGGGGTATCGGTTTCCGAGGAAACCTTTTTTTTTTAGAGTGTAGTTGTCTGTCAAGAGTTCAATGATCAATCGTACATTTATTGTTGACCCCATCCTTCAGTCTCTTTCACCAATCCTATCCATCATTAGATATAACTTATCAGTCGGATAAGCACTGCATTCAAAAAAAAAAAAG